TACCTCTGATATTGGAAAGCTACTAAAAATAGAGTATCAAGTGGGAGAATTTGCAATTCCCCCAAACTATGACCCTTCACTCATGTGGGAGTTATTCATAGAAAGAAAAGAAAAATACCCTCCAAAAGGGTATGCAAGTGATAAAAAAAATGCACAAATGAGGACTTCTCATTATTTCCTAGCATTCGCATTGTATGGAAGGAGCAGCAATTTCAGTTATGTTAACTCTCAGGATCTATGGTTGATGGAATCTGCAATAAATGAAATCCCTCTGAATGTAGTACAATATATGATGGAGAGAATGAGAGGAACCTTCATAGGGGATAAGACCAACTTGCCATATCGAAACATCATCTGCTTTTTTGTTAAGAAGAAAGAATTCTAGAGTATTAGATACCAAATTGATTGGACCAAAAGCAAAGATCGAGGCATCTTTCTTGAAAGCCTATAGAAAATGGGATATAAGCTTGAGCTAAATGAGTGTATCAAAACGCTCAAAGGTACACCAACTCCTTTAGGAATTAAGACTCCTTTCACTCCTTTTTATAGAGTTAGCCAGCCTCTCATTCAAAATGATAATGATCTTCAATCTGCTAATGATAATTAATGAAAAACTAACTAAGCAAGTTGAAAAGATTATGAAAATAGAAAAAAGACTACATTTCCTTAAAGAAAAAAAGCTAAAACTTCTACATTCAAAGATCAAACAAGAGTTGAGAGTCCTTTAAGTGAGAGAAATGCCACAGAGCAGTTTGAAACTCATGTATCTAATATTGAAGATGAAAGTGGCAAGACAAATGCTGAAAATGAAGGAAAGATCCAAGATGAAGTTGTAGCTTATGCAATAGAAATAGATAAGAGAGTTGAAAAGGAAAAAGAAAGTGACAGAGGAAAATGATCAATAACCAAAAAAAAGAAAAAGAAACTTAAGTTGGACTAGAAAATCCAAATGAAGGAGAATCAAAAGCTGTAAAAACAAATGAGAAATCTTCTGAAGAATCTGAAAAGATTCTGCTTTTAGATTTCATTATTGAAATTCTTGAAGAAGCTATAGCTAACCAAGTTAAAGCAAATGAAAAAATAGAACACGAAGTTCAATCAACAAAAAAACAAAAGGAAGAGATCATACCATAGCAAACTCAGAGCAAAAAAAAGGTAGCAATCATTGATTTCATGTCTAAGAAATCTTCCAACAGAGGCAAAAAAACAATGGCAACCAATACTACCACTCTCTAAAGAAAGAAATCTACAAGACTGGCATTGACTACTGTCAAACAACCATACAAACCTAAACCGATGTTAATCGGTTAGAGCATTTAATGACCTCTAACTCGATCGTTATCGACATCCGAGACTTATGAGTAAACTCACCAAATCCTGAACAAGCTTAAGTTGAGATTCCTGTTAATTAAATCAAATATGCTTCAACGTATATGATCGAACTGTGAAAATGATGCTATCGTTTACGCAATCCAGATAAATTGTAACAATTACTACTTCTCTACTAGATGACACTATTCTATGTCCATAAACTTCCAACAATTTAACATTACATTGACTATTCATTACTTAACCACAAAGTCTTTAGGTACATACTTATTCGTTAGATTAACAATGTTACAAGTTTAGCTATTACATAGCACGACTTCTAGGCAGCGGAACGATTCAAAGTAAAAGTCTAAGAGATGTCATTACCTATGTCGCAACGAGCTAAGATACACTAGACAACATGCTTACTCTGATCACTTATCTGCAAAAGGAAAAAAAAAAAGGTGAGTCTCACAGACTCAGTGATCATCAACTCTGTGAGCAGGGTGTAAATGAGAAATAAGTGAAAAGCAAAGAATTTGAATGTTAAAAACATAAGAATATATAAACGATTTAACTTCAAGAGAAGATGTGTGCCTTATATGTATACTCAAGAGTTTTTTGTAATATTAGATAATTATTTCAAACCACACATACATATATATCAAATTCATTATGAGTAAAAGTTTCTACCGTTGAAACCTTTTTTATAATTTTACCCAAATCAAATTCGTATATACATGCATGCTCTCGTAAAATTAATCATTATCAAAACTCATATGCAAGATCTTAGATCACCTCATACGCAAGGGATAAATCTACATCATTTATAAATAAGGAAGCTATCAAAAATCTTATAGTTCTCACCATACGTAGAATACGAGTTGAAAATCCCAAAGAGATTTACTCCTGAGTAAGTGAAAAAATAAAGAACTGGTGGACTTGTTTCCACCCAATAACATCTAGGGGCCCCACTCCATGAATCCCATAACCATGGCAGTCTCAACAATGTTGATCGACATCAAAAAAATCAAATGGTCGTAATTGCATAAATCACTGGTGGCTTACCCATGCAAATATATATCACAGGCCATGGCCCCCGTTATGCCTATCTGCCCATCGACGACCCAAAGGTTCTCTAACTAGAACTCACTTGTGTACAAGGGTCATACTATTTTGATGTGTCATTCGGCCTACTCTTGAATCTCCCGATTGAGTAAAACCATTTAAAATCAAATTAAGTTCTTAAAAGCTTAGTTCAAAACCATTTCCAAAACATTCAACATCATAACACCTTTGCATGAGTTTGAAACATCAACTCGCATGGTGAATATATGTTTTATTAATGAATGCACATCACACACACTATAAGGCATATTTTGATAGAAACCATATGAAAAGCTTGTTTCCCGATTTATAAACCTTTTTTATGTATATAGCTTATATTTGTATATAATTAAAACACTTTCAAATATTAAAGCACCCACAAAATACCTATGATTTCTACTTGCTTATGCTTTTCACAACTTTGCATTCAAAGTAAATCAACACGTATATATATATATATATACACACATAGTTATGGAAATTTTAAAATGGGCATCCCCTACTCACCTCACAATAGCGAGACACTACGTCACTATTAATTCGAGTGCATAAATAACTAATACTAATTGTCGATCACTGGTTTATCTCATCTGACACGTCACCCCAGCACACTTCCTCTACTTATACGCTTCCTAACAACCATCCAAACCCAATTCACTTAATTGTATGTATGCATGGCAGCAATTCAACTAACAATTTATTACCCAAAATTTCATAGTTAATCCCATGCTTATACAATCATACATGGTAGCAACTTTACCAAAGAAATCTTAAATCTTTGCATGCATAATTCTTATCTTTTATTTTCTTCAACATTACATCCTCACACAATAATTCTTACAACTGTTATAGACATTCTTTCTAACCCATGATCATTTAGCATAAACAATCAAGAATTAAGCCAAAATTGTCTTACTTTTCCTCAACAATTCACTTGATCTAAAACCAAGAAATCTCAAGCCCCTTGGTAGTAAAATCTCATATTTCTTGTGATTCACCAATATACCCAGTTTTACTATTGCTGCCACAAACATCTCCACACAATTACTAACTCATTTCCTCAAGAAATTACAACTAAAGTTAAAACTCTACATACCTTCCTTAGTGTTTTCTTATTTCACCTTTCTTTCTTTCTTTTTTCCTCCTTTCTTTCTTTTCTTCTTCGTTTCCAAGTCGATCTAATCTTTTCTTCTTTTTCTTTTTCAAGGTACGGTTTTTATCTCAAGGCAAAGACATTTGTTGTTCCTTTGGTGTGGGGTGGATTCTTCCAAATGCCCCACCACTCAAATTTTCTTTCTTTTCTTCTCTCATGGTGGCTTGTCCAAGTTTGGTTATTTTGGTAATTTCTTTATTCCTTACATGTGGTTAAAATTGCAAGTCAAAAAGCTTTTGGACTTTCCACCGTCGCCATCATTGACTATTGTTTCTTCCATTATGTTCTTTTCTTTTCTCTTGATTTTTTTCCTTGTTGGGGTAGATTCCCAAGGCTTAATGGCTCTTGTCATCTTTTCCTTGTACTTTATATGATAAATTACAAAATAAAAAAGCTTCTACCTGCCACCTTGCATTGCCATTCTTTTTCTTAGGCTTCTTTATTTCATACAGTACATTTACTTCATATTTTATTTAGTCATTCTTTGACCCATTCAAATCACATGCAATCCACCTTCTTCTTCCCTCATTTTGCCACCAATGAACCAATCACGATGCATGCAAATAAATTTTGGTCTTATTCTTTTGTTTTCTTCAGATGGTGGGGATCCCATATGTCCCCCACTAACTTTTCCTTTTTACACACCATAGTTTGCATGTAATGATAAATTTTATATGTAAATTTCATATTCCACATAATCTAACCTTCCTTGGTTAGTAAATTCCCATTTAACTCCAAATATTAAAATTTGCACATAAGTCTTCAAACCTTTCTTTATTTACCATATAACTCTTCAAATTTCTATCCTTTACTATTTGGTTCTTCCACCATTTCTTAACTCCAATTTCCTTCTATTTTCCTGCCTTTACACGTGTACAAATAAAATATAAGGTTTGCACTTCACCACGGTATCACCATAATATTTAAATATATACTTACCCTATGACACTGACTTAGTAGGTCGAGATCGGAAGGTAAAAGCTATCCTTTTGCCTTTATCTGGTCGACTTCTCCTAACTGGAGGTGAAACTGCAGATGCTACCACCGAAGCTGGTTGTACATACCCACGACCAATCCCTTGTGATCTCGCTTTATAGGGGCAATCTCTTCACTTATGTCTTAGTTGACCACAATTAAAGCACACATCATATGACTGAGCACATGGCCTCACATGCATAGTATCACAACGCGTACAATAAGGACTCCTCTGGCCCATTTGTCGACTGTCAGGGCTAGTTATTTCATTACCAGTTCCTTGGCGATTACTTGGTGGAGAAAAATTCCCATAACGAGGTGGACTACTAAACTAGGGATTTCTCCTCGACCCTTAAGACCCAATTGACACTTGCCCTCTGTTATGAACAAAAGCCCTTCGATCAGGTCGACTTGACCTTTCAAAAGTTATTTCTTGATCAGTGTTCCTTTGACTAGTCTATCCTTTAACCTTATTCCTTCCAATACTTTCGCGAAGTGCCTTAGCCTCTATACTACAACCCTCTATTAGTCGAGCACAATCCACTGTATCAGTGTACGAATCAAACCTCTGCAATGCAACAATTTTGAACAAATACTCAAACAGTCCAGCCACAAACCGATTCACTCTCATTTCTTTCAAAGAAACAAGGTATGGGACATATCTAGACAATTGCGTAAATTGCACATCATATTCAAATACTGTCATCCTGAGTGTTTGTCTCAAAGCCTCAAACTCCCTGGCCTTAGCTGCTTGCACACTACGAGGCATAAATCTGTCCATAAAGGCTTTTTATCAAACTCTTTCCACCCAAGCGAACCAGCATCATTAGATTTACCCCACACATGATGTAATCCATTGTTGTGCTACATCATCTAGACGGAAACTAGCCAATGTTATTGACCTCATGCTTGAAGCTCCTAAAGCGCGACAGATCCTTTCCATGGTTTTCAAAAATCGACGTGGGTTCTCTCCCACTGTGGAACTAGTGAAGGATGGAGGTTTTAAATTTATAAATGTAGATAATGAAATTGAGTCATCTCCTTCATCATCATTCCAATCATTCTCATCCTCCTCTTCTAACTCTTCCTCCACTATCATATCTGTATTTGGGTCATAATCTGGATCTTGTGAACTCAACTCCATGTACTCTTTAACCGCATTAGTACATCTCTAAGTAAATTTGGTAAACTGTTCAGTCAAATTCACAATCTAGCAGCTAATTCATCCAAGGTAACGCTCTTTAAAGTAAGTCCATTTGCCCTAGTGTTGTCCATACTAGCATTCCTTCGATCACTCGAACTACCCTCACGTGAACGTTGGAAACTTCACCTCCCCTGGTTTTAGAACGACCTCGTCCTCATGAGGTAGTAATCCATAGTCGCTCATCAATTTCTTTGGGCATGTCCAATTCACTGCAGCCTTCAAAGATGCTCGAGTCCGAGGTGGCATCTCAAACCTGGACATCGACAATCAATTGTTATTATTTAATTCTCTTATAATTTCACAAGGAGTTTTCTAAGATAAAGAAGTCTATGCAATCTCCTGCCCATAATCGGTGCTGCAATCACTAACTATAAGTAAGACTCTACGTTGATCCCACTATTCTGTTATTTGATACGAGAATTTCTAAGACTTAACTAAACCTAAGACTCTGATACCAATACTATAATGACCTCTAACCCGATCATTACCTACTTTCGAGACTTGCAAGTAAACTCACTAAATCCCAAACAAGCCTAAGTTAAGATTCCTGTTAATTAAATTAAATATGTTTCTACGTATACGACCGAACTATGACAATGATGCTATTGTTTATGTAATTTAGATAAATACTAGCAATTAGTACTTTTCTACTAAATGACACTATTTTATGTCCATAAACTTCCAACAATTTAAAATTACATTGACTGTTCATTACTCAACCATAAAGTCTTTAGGTACATACTTATCCAATAGATTAAAATTTTACAAGTCTAGCCATTTACACAGCATGAATTATAGGCAGCAGAGCGACTCAGAGTAAAAGTCTAAGAGATGCCATTACCTATGTTGCAACGAGCCAAGATACGCTAAACAACACGCTTATTCTGATCACTTATATGCAAAAGGAAATAAAGGAGTGAGTCTCACAGACTCGGTGATCATCAACTCTGTGAGTAAGGCGTAGATGGAAAATAAGTGAAAGACGAAGAATTTGCATGTTAAAAACATAAGAATATATAAATAATTTAACTTAAAGATGCGATGTGTGCCTTATATGTAAACCCAAGAGTTCTTTGTAATATCAGATAATTATTTCAAATCATACATACATATATATCAAATTCATTGAGAATAAAAGTTTCTACTATTGAAACCCTTTTTATAAGTTTACCCAAATCAAATTTGTATATACATGTATGCTCTTATAAAATTAATTATTATCAAAAACTCATGCAAGTTATTAAATCACCTTGTACACGGGGGAATAAATTCACATCATTTATAAATAGAGAAGCTACTGAAAATCTTATAGTTCTCACCATACGTAAGAATGCAAGTTGAAATCCCCAAAGAAATTTTACTCGAGTAGGTGATAAATTAAAAAATTGTGGACTCGTTTCCATGCAAAGTACGAACTACTAAAAAGAGGGCTACTCAATCAAGAAACAACTGGTTGCATTCTTTGCAAAAAAGACCTAAAGACAGTCAATCATTTGTTTCTTCATTGTGAGGTAGTGTGGCAAGTGTGGATGAGATGGAATGCAGAATGGGAAGTTTGTTGGGTGGTTCCTAGCAGATTGCTAGAGTTCTTTGAAACCTAGAATAGCACTAATCTTAAGGAAGGGAAGGGCAAGTATGGGCAATGGCGTTATATGCAATCTCTTGGTCAGTGTGGCTCCAAAGGAAAAATAGTCTTTAGAAGAGGTAGCTGGGATGGTAACCAAGTTTGGGAAAGTAGCAAATTGAGAGTTACAGTGTGGGCTAAAGCCAAATGGCCTCATAACAATGGATCGACAATTGATACATATCGAAACCCTTCACTTGGGGCAGTAATAATACAACCAAAACAAGGTAGGAATGTGGATGGATGGGCTAAACCAGCTGCAGGGGAAATGAAATTTAATGTTGATGGAGCAGTGAAAGGCAACCTTGGAGAGTCCAGAATAGAGGGCGTGATGAAAGAGAACATGAACACATTAAAATCATGTTTTCCAAATCCATAGGGGTGAGGGATGCTAACTTGGCTGAAATTATAGCTATAAGGGAGGCGTTTATTCTTTTTATAGCTTCCAAATAAGGACAAACGAAGTCGTTGATTATTGAGAGCGATTCAAGCAATGTAGACAAATGGGTGAATCAATCGACTAAAGGGCCATGGAGGTTACGGAAGTGGATCCTTCACATTGAGAGGTTGAAAAGACAAGTGATAAGCTAGCAAGTTAAGCATGCGTTTAGAGAGAATAATCAGTTGGCAGATAGACTGGCCAAAGCAGGGATTCAACGTATGTAGGATCTTATCAATGTGCTAGAATAGAGTGGATGGGAAGGAGCAAGCGAAAGTTTATTCGGTTACTTTTCCATGATGCTGCAGTGGGTGGTTTCATTAGATGTGGTGTTTTGGCTGCTTGGTTTTTACTCTTAGTGGTGATTCTTTTGTTCTCTTGGGTTATGTGATGAGAGTGGGACGCTGATCTTTTAGTCTAGAATTGGTTGTTTTAGTTGGGCAATCCCTTTTGATCTCATTGCAACTTGAGCTTGTGTATATTTGCTTTTCCTTGCTTGTGGCTTAAGCAAAGTTCCTGCCTTAACTGTACGTATGCATGGTAGTAATTCAACTAACAATTTCTTACCTAAAATTTCATAGTTAATCCCATGCTTGTACAATCATACATGACAGCAACTTTTTCAAAAAAATCTTAAATCTTTGCATGCATAATTCTTATCTTTTGTTTTCTTCAATATTACATCCTCACACAATAATTCTTACAACCTTTATAGATGTTCTTTCTAACCCACAATCATTTAGCATAGACAATCAAGAATTAAGCTACAATTGTCTTACCTTTCCTCAATAATTCACTTGATCGAAAACCAAGAAATTTCAAACCCCTTGGTAGTAAAATCTCACATTTCTTGTGATTCACCAACATACCTAGTTTTTCTTTTGCTGTCACAAACATCTCCACACAATTACTAACTCATTTCCTCAAGAAATCATAACTAAAGTTAAAGTTCTGCTTACCCTCCTTAGCTTTTTCTTCTTTCTCCTTTCTTTCTTTCTTTCTTTCTTTCTTCCTCCTTCCTTTCTTTTCTTCTTCGTTTTTAAGCCGATCTTATCTTTTCTTCTTTGTTTTTTCTCAATGTGCGGTTTTTATCTCAAGGTAAAGATATTTGCCTTTCCTTTGGTGTGGGTCGATTCTCCCAAATGCCCCACCACTCAAATTTTCTTCCTTTCCTTCTCTCATGGCAGCTTGTCCCAGTTTGGCTATTTTGGCAATTTCCTCATTCTTTACATGTGATTAAAATTGCAAGTCCAAAAGCTTTTGGACTTTCCACTGCCACCATCATTAACTATTGTTTCTTCCATTATGTTCGCTTCTTTTTTCTTGATTTTTTTCCTTGCCTAGGTGGATTCCGAAGGCTTAATGGCTCTTGCCATCTTTTTCTTGTTTTATATGATAAATTACAAAACAAAAAGGCTTCCACCCGCTACCTTGCATTGCTATTCTTTTTCCTAGACTACTTTATTTCATGCACTACATTTATTTCATATTTTATTTCGTTGTTCTTTGACCCATTCAAATCACATGCAATCCACCTTCTTCTTCGCCATTTGACTACCAATGAACCAATCACAATGCATGAAAAAAATTTTAGTCTTATTCTTTCTTTTACTTCACATGGTGAGGGTCCCATAGGTCCCTCATTAACTTTTCCTTTTTGCATACCATAGTTTGCACGTAATGATAAATTTTACATGTATATTTCATATTCCACATAATCTAACCTTCCTTGGTTAGTAAATTCCCATTTAACTCCAAATATTAAAATTTGCACATAAGTCCTCGAGTTTTTCTTTATTTACCATATGACTCTTCAAACTTCTATCCTTTACTATTTGGTTCTTCCATTATTTCTTAACCCCAATTTCTTTTTATTTTCCTACCTTTACACATGTACACACAAAATATAAAATTTACACTTCACCACGGTATCACTCTAATATTTAAATATATATTTAATCGCGCTAGCTTTATTTAGTAAAGACAAGCAAGCCCCATAAACGTCGTTTTTCTTCAAAATTCTTCCTTACTTCTTCTCTCCCACTTAGATTAGTCATATAACCCTCTTTTTTGATGAATTTTAATAATAAATAAAATATTAATATTTTAATATTATTTTATTTATAAGATATTATTTTATTTCAAACTATTCTTTTCACCCGTCACCGTTCTTTGTCACTTAAATTTACGTCAAATGACCCTTCCTCTCATCGATAGGGTTTTATTGACTTCTAAACAAGGGTACGGGGTGTTACAAAGCAAAAGACCTAAAGTACCTTCAAGCATCAAAATCCAAATTTGAAATAAACCTAACCATTGAAGGGAGCTAAAATAAAGAAATTCAAATTTAAAGAATTTTTAAGTGGTTGAAGTTGATTTTAATTAATCAAAGTTGAAGGAAGAAAAGTCTTAATCAATTAAAGGAATGATTAACCAACTAAAGGAAAACTACTGGTTGAAAAAGTCTAACAACAAAATGTTTTAATCAGTTAAAGCAATCTTTAACAGATTAACACAGTGAACAAAGCTACTAGACAATCCTAGTCAGAAAAGCTTGGCTTTAATCCGTTAACAAAACTCTATATGCCTATTTGAATTTAATTGCTAGAAGTCAATAACTAGAATGGCATCAAACGTGTTCACAATGGCTAGAAACTATCTCTAATAGAAAAATCTAAGCCTCCAAGTATAAAATGAAGTTTCAATGGTCAAAGAAACACAAAAAAGAAGCTACCAAAATCATTTTTGAGCGAAAAGCCAAAAAACCTTCTTGTACACAGTTGTTTTTCATTCGTATTCTTGTAGGAGTATTTAAGCTTGATTGTAATCATCCTAGATCAATAAGAGTGATCATGTGTATTCCTTTTTCTTCTTGGTTGATTAGAGTGTGGGAATCAGTTTGAGACTTATTGTAAGGAATTAGAGCTTAAGTTAGAAGCTCACATTGGAAAAGCTTGGTGAAAGCTATTAATTTCACTAGTTTGATGAAATTGGGTTGAAAATCCTTGATTAGAGATTAAAGTAATGGATGTAGGTCAATGGAACCGAACCACTATAAATATTTATGTATTATGCACTTCTCTTTACCTTTCCTTACTTGGCCTTTTTTAACTTCAACAAGTTTAAACCTTTCTTCTTATAGTTGAGCTCTACAAGTTTAATAAGTTGACATAAAAACTTTTAATGCTATTCATCCCT